CAAAAAAAAAGAAAAACTTCTTAATTAATGACAAAAAAAGCTGCATTAATAGTAATTTTGGCTTTTTATTTTATTTCTTTTTCGCAATTATTTCAAGTTTTCCATAAATTTTTCCTTGCCTTTATCTTTTCTAATAGACAAAAATTTTTGCTCTAAAATTTCAATTTTAGATTTAAAAGATAATTTTATCAGATTTATTTTATTGCACATTTGCATCATATTTTACTAAAAATATCATCATTTTGGATTAAAATATTCCTGGTTTATTTTCTCTTTCTCTGAAAATCAAAGTAACACAAATACAAATCAATGTAACACAAAATTATTTTCTCATAAAAATTTTGTTCAATTCCTCAATTGTTGCATTATTCTTAATCATCGATAAGTAATGTAAAGTATTCATTGGGATGGAAAATGCTAAAACATTGATTAGTTTCATTTTTAAGTGAAATTTGCTGATTTATTGATTGATAGCAGTGATGGTTTCAATCAATAAATGAAAACTTATAGTCTTTCAATTAAATTTTTTATTTTTTAAATTTATATTAACGAAGAAATCCAAAGTGAATATTTAAAAAATGTCATAGTTTCATTAAAAATAATTAATTTTCAAATGTTATTACAATGTCATATTGTCTTCATTCTTGCAATACGAATTTTATTCTGCTTATTAATAGTTATGTAAATTTAATGAGATGGATGATAGAATGAAAGATTTAAATTGAAGTTTAATTTTGGCATTGAAATACAGTAGATAAGACATCTTGAAAGAAATAAATTACCATAACATTTACTAAATTTGTACTATTTCAAATATGCTTTACATGTAGTTTACAAGATTTTAAAGAGAAAAATTTGTTTTTTTCAAGTAATAACAAAGATTTTAAGGAAAAGATTATAATTAGAATAAATGGAAATTTACAGTTTCTAATTAAATGTTTTTTTTTAAGTTTAAGTTAGTAAAATCTAAAGTGAATACTAGAATTTACACAATTTTATCAAATGTAATTAATTTTCAAGATGTTATTGTTGTGATATAAGACGATTTAATTATTGTAATAATTCTGAAATAATCGTTATTTTACAAATGAATAAGTTATAATCATTATAACTATCTGTATTAATCACGATTTTATCAAATAATAATTATGAATGATGATAACATTTTATAACAACACTGATAATATGCTGATATATCATTTCAATAATACTTTTTTTTATAGGTATTTACATTTGTATATTTCAAAGTTTGCTGCGCATATTGTCGATGGCAACAAAATCGACGTCGTATTTGCCGTTCAGCAATTAGTTTCCGTTATCATCCTAATGCACCAATAAATGCTCGAAGAGGTTAATTTCTCCTTTTTTTTTCTTTTTCCCATTTAATTTTACACTTTTACAGTTTAATATAGTAATTTTTTGTTATCAAATTTAAATGTTACGTTCATTTTGAAACAATTTCATCTTCTTTATAAAATGAAAAATTTATCATTTGTATTTTATAATTAACATGATAAATTTCACTAATTTTGCTAATTTAAACTTCAGCAATTTAAAATTTTACTAATTACTAATTTAATTTTTTACTAATTTGACAGCACTTGCTGAATTCAGTTTTGTTAAGTATTTTTTTTAAATTTTTATTTCAAAAATTTCAAGACTTCTTCAGTTTAAAGTCTATTTGTGTTAGTTATTTAGTGCAATAGAATTTGCTTTATTTTATGAAATTTAGGCATTAATAAGGTTTAATTACAGATAGTAAAGAGTAATAGAATGGTCAGTATAATTTAATAACAATTGTTTAGTACCACCAAGTCGTTACAATCAACGTTATCCTGGAATTCGTCGGCATGGAAGTTTAACACGATTATACGGCCCACGTTTGAAAAGTACTTTTAGCGATACAAAAAGTATTCGTAGCTCACGAAGTTTTAATAACAAATATGATACAATTTCATTACCGGCACGTCGAAATTTTGCTACATACAACATTCGAACATCTTACGACACCTATCATAAGTAAGTTGTTTTCTTTTTATTTCATCAAGATTTTCAAAAGAAAACATGTGAAATTACGTGTTATTATTGTAACATGTATGTTAAATTAGTAGTTTTAATTTTTTTTTACAAGTTTATTTGATAATTTTGAGTTGTAATTTTACGTGTATTATTTATTTATCAAAAGAATGTACTGAAATTACATGTGGTACTTCGTAATTTTAGTTGCTTCTTAAGTTCTTTTTCTCGTGATTTTATTTTTTAGTTTAAAATTTTTCAACAGTTTTGCATGTATTACTTATTAAAATTTTTCAACAGTTTTGCATGTATTACTTATTACTTATAAATAATTTGTAAATTTTGTTCATTTTGCATAGGTTTAATTGAACGAAATCTTTTTGATTTCAATTTTTACAATTTTATTCGATGCAAATTGATAAAATAAAATGAAAAAAGTGAATATTGCGGCATTATCAATTGAAGAAAGCTTAAAAAATTGAAAAAAATTTTGGAAAAAAAATCGAAGGAATTTTGAAGGAAAAAATAAACATTTCAGAGTTTCATTAAGAAAAGGTGCACCAGGAATGATAAATCGAATTCGTTCAAATGAAATTTCATTACGTGATTCATCACTTCATAGTATTAGCGAATCCAAGCAAAAGCGTGGTTGTTGTAATTTGTCACCAAAGTGTGCTGCTACTGAACGTTCATATTTCACTTTTAAAGGTACATAATTCATCCATTTCTAAAATATGTTGAAGATTGTAAAGAAATATGGGAAATTAAATTATAATAAATTATAATACAGATTACTTATTTCATTAATGGATAAGAAATATTTTAAAATTTTGAATAATGAAATATTTGAAGGTTGATAATTTTTGAGGTTTAATAAAATATCCTAATTTCTCATTTCATGCATTTGCTAAATTCAATTATTTGTTAAATATTATTTAAATTATTAATTGGTATTGTTGAAGTAAAATTAAATTTATTATCTCGAATCCTTTTTTTTTCACTACTTTATTTTTTTTTGTACATAATCTTTACCATTTTTTTTATTCTATTTTCGAGTATTTTTAGATTTGATTTCATACATATTTTTTAGTTAAATTTTCATTTTTTAAATTTATATGCATATGCTTAAGTGAACAAACTAAAAGATAAACATTAAAAACTTCTAGTATAGAATTAATGAAGTATTATCTTTAAATAATAATGCAACTTTTTGTGAATTAATTGGAAATCAAATCATTCTCTTTATCTATCACTTCATTTAAAAAAAAAAGAAAAAATGAAAATGAAAATTCTTTGCATATTTTAAGGTGGTATACCAGTACGTTATCAAAGTGATGGTAAATCACGAGGTGCCTTTGTTGAACTTAAAACTTATGCTCGTGGTACAGCTGGAACATCAACTAATTTACATTCTAATGTTACTGGCCATATTTCAGTACCACAACTCAGGTTTATCATTAAAAATTGAGTTTTAAATTTGCAAATTTTTCTCTTTTCTACCCTCTATTATGTCGAACTTAAAACTTATACTTGTAGTACAGCTGGAACATCAACTAATTTACACTCCAATGTTATTAAATTAATTAAATTACTCTACTGAATTAATTGATTTACTTCACTGGATTAACTGAGTTACTCCTGGAATATAAATATCTAATATTAGGATGTATTAATTTCAGTATTAGTACATCTAGTACATCGCGTGGTCATTATTCAAGTTCTTCCTTAGATGATACATTTGAATAGGAATTACGAAATTCTTATTTAGGTAGTACATTTGGGTGTTATTCAATTGGGTGTTATTTAAGGTGTTATTTAATTTCCTATCTATACACAAAACTCCTGATTTTTAATTAGAATAATGATAGCTGATTGAAAGAGGAATGATCACTTTTCACTACATTATTGTTATTATTACTATAATATTTGTTATTGTTAGAGCTAAAGCTCGACGAAAGGAAGAAAAAGAAAAGGACATGTCAACAGTTACAACATCATCACGAATAATCACTAAGTAAACTTTTGTTTTCATCTATTTAACTCGGAATGATAAAACACTTCTTGAAGTCAACATACTCTTAGGATTACTGATAATGATAGTAGAGATAGTTTAGTTTTACTGATCACTTAAACGAATTATAAAATTGATTACTGAAGTGTAACTTTGAATGATCCTCAAACTTCAAGCAATAATTTGATAATCTTTCATAAATAAAACATCTTTTTTTTTCCAAATGATTAAAAACTCGCAAATCTGATGTTTCATATGCTAAAATTTGCTAACATTCCAACTAAAATAGGTTGTTAATTGGTTTCTTTTTTCTGCAAAATTACTAGTTTGTCAAATATGTTTTGGTTGGACTTTGACATCAAAAATTAAATGAGTCACAGATTGAAATTAATTATTAGTAGCATCAGGTAAAGATATTTTTCTAACAAATCAAAAAATAAATTTTGAAATTTTAGTCAGCGTACAAGTAATTCGAACAGTAAAGAAAGTGATTCGGTAATTCTACCACAAATTACAGTCAATGATAATGTTGATGAGGAAGATGAAACTAATCATCAGGTTATCTTTATTCTTTTTCTCATTTCCTTGCTAAAAAAAAGAAATGATATGTTATCAAATGCTATGAGATATCATCTGTTAGTTATGGGAATAGAATGTATTTTAGAATGGATAGGAATGAAGAAAATTGAATTTCCAATTAAGAGAATGAATTTCCTAATTTTAAAAATTCAGTAATTTATTAACTTCGTTTGCTGAATATTACTCACTTTAAAAAATAATGTGATATATCCTGTTAATTGTGTTTTTTTTATTTTTGGCTAATTTTATTTGCTAAATGAAATTTGACATTTTTTCAATTATTCATTAATCGATTTTATTGGCATAGAATTCATCGAGCAAATAATATTTATTGTAGTAAAATGTAAAATTTTGTTAATCGAATAGATTTTCTTTTCACAAAAATTATCATCAAAAATATTTCAAATATTAGCAAAACAAAAAAAAAATAGCAATATTAATTGTAGAAAAAATCTTTGGATAATACTGAACAAACAACTGCTGCAACTACAATTAAGGACTATGAACAAACGGAAAGTATGTTTTCGCTTTATCATCTCCAGTAATTTTATTTAAATTTTTGTCTCATTTAATATTGTTTACATTTTTGTCATCATGAAATTGTTCTCAATGATATACCATCATTAAGAGTAATTTTATAATTTCCAGTTGAAGAGTATCATTTGTTAACCTAAATCGTAATGGATAATTTAAAAATTGAAGTTAAAATTTGATTCAGTAAAAATTCTAGTAGATATTTAGCAGATGATGAGAGTATAAATGAATTTTTTTAGCAAATGAGAAATTAAATTCAGCAGCATCATCATCACAGGATCCAATACAACAACGATCAACAGGTATTGTCATTGAACGTATAATGAGTGCAAATAAGCCGCCATCTTTGGATAGTTCACTCCTGAGAAGGTAACTATTCAAGTAATTTTTATTTCAAATTATAGTATTTTGTTTTTTTTTTTTTTGCAGTTTTTTTGGCATAAAACAGTTTTTACTATATGTAGTAGTTATGCTATAATTTGGTGACAAAAGAAGCACAACATTTAGTGGTCATTTAATGAAGACACTTTCAAAGAATGAAGTGTTAAAAATGATGATTGAAAATATAAATGTAGAGAAATGTCAACAAAAGCTATTCTATTACTTTTAATTCGAAAATTTCTAACATTCGTATTTCTGTGACTATTTCAGATTACTTACGATTACTTAGTGGTCACTAAAAAAAACTGCATAATAAATTATCGTTGATAATTTCAGAAAATATACTTGAACAAGCATGACTTTTTCTTTTTTTTGGAAAAATTACGAATTTTTGTCAAGATTTTACGGTTAAGATTGGGATAATCCCACAAAAAGATGACATAAAACGTCGATGAATAAATAATTCAAACAGTTGGAAAGTAGTTTTCTAACTTTTGCAATGAATAAGTACATACTGAAGTGCTTACATTTAGCTTATAGCCATATAAACTGATAGTGTATTATGTTAAGTAATCGAATTGGTTCTTCATCCTGATAATTTGTATTAAATAAATTAAAAAACTAAAATTTTCAAAAAAAAATGAGTTCATATCTTTTTGGAATTCGCCAAGAAATGTTAGATAGCCGATCGTTTCGTAGTGCGGGTAGCGAACGATCTGATGATATGTCATTACGATCAATAAGACGTGCAGGTATACCGTATAAACGTGAAAAAATGCCTGTTTCGGTTGGAATAATTACGGTAATTTTGTTTATTGCTGGTGGAGCAATTTTATTCGCTATTTGGGAGGACTGGAATCTTTTCGATGGTGCATATTACTCATTTATTACTTTAAGGTAAATTTATCTATATGTATATATCGATAGCAAAATAATTGATGATAATATCTATTTTATCGTTATCATTATCCTAATTCGGGCAGTTGTTATGAAAGCAACCATATGATTAAGCATTGTAAATTCCTGATTAATTATCGGTGTTGCCATCAATAGCAAATGGAATAATGAGGAAAATTCCTGAAAATAGAAATTTTCCGAATACTATCAAAACTTTTGTTAAAATAACATTACTTTTGTTTGATTTCTTATTTAGTATAAAATGCTTTTCGATGGTAATATTAGGATTAATTTGATTACAGTAATATTCTGATTATTTTTTGCATAAGCAATATAACATTTTAACCGGTATATATCATTATCCAGAAATATACTACACTAAGCAACTTAACAGAAATGGTAATACATATGTATAAGTTTTTAAGTTTTGTAAATTTAAAATTCCCAAGTTTCTAATTTTTAATCTCTAAATTTTAAAGTTTCTTCCTGAAATTATCATATTAAATTATCATTATATATGGAAATTTCGAATTTCCGGAGTTTTTATCTATTTTTTAAATTTTACAAATTTCTGTCTCCGCGATCTCCACAATTTTCACCCTTTAATTTTTAAATTTTGCTAATTCCTCATTGAAATTGCACATGTTTTTATATTTTCAAATTTCAGTACAATTGGTTTTGGTGATATAGTACCCGGACAAAGTCTCGGTGAAGGTTCACAGGAAAAGCTCATTGTTTGTGCGTTGTATTTGCTATTTGGTATGGCGCTAATTGCAATGTGTTTCAAACTAATGCAAGATGATGTAGTTCGAAAAGCACGATGGCTTGGACAAAAAATTGGTATCCTTGGTAAGACATTCTAATCTTACAAACTACAATTTTCAAATAATTTCATTCTTTCGAATTTATTCGAATGATAAGAAATTGAGAAAAATTAGTAATTTGTGTGATTTTTTGTCCCTTTTTTTGTTTTTTTTTTGGCTTGTTATAGGTAGATTTATGTGTCACGTACGTAGTTTGTCACGTACGTAGCTTGTTTTTAACAAAAATTCTAACATTTTTTTCTTGCAAGCAATTTGCACTTATTATAACAGCTTTCTATGCCTCTAACTACGTCTCCAGGAAACAAAACTGAAGCATCGCGGTTGGGTGAGATACTAACATCACCTATACTGCGCATACTGGAACTGCAATCCAATATTGCACAATCAGGAGTTCAAGCAAGTCTGCTTTCGTGCATTTTGCATTTTGCAATTTGTTTTTTTCTCTTTTTTTTTTTTTTGCACATCCATTTTAATAGATTTTATTAATATGAAAAAAGGGGAAAGTTGCAAATTTTTGCCAAATTATTAGATACAAAAAAAAATTATGAATATTAATTATTTAATGCAAAAGTTTAAATTTGGTTTGAAATTTTATAAATTGGCAGAATATTTATGTCAGAGGCAAAAATTTGCAAAAAATTATTTGAAAATGCTTGCTTTCACATGTATTTAAGAAAATGAAAACATATGCAATTAGTATTAATTCGAGCTAATTATAAATCAATCAATTCAAGCATATTTTCGAATATAATTTGAAATCTTTGGATTTAGCTCAGTGAATCAAAATGTATTTGTTGAGCTTTTGGGACATGTCACAAATTTTTTATCATTTAAAATTGGCGCGATAGTTGATATAATTGATTGACCGTTGCTGAATTTACTCGCATCATTTTATTATCAGCCAAAACTTTTGATAATTGAACTCATTTTTCGTTCTAATCAAAAAGAAATACTTCCGTTATTAATTGTACTACAATGGATTTTCTTTTTTTTTTTTCGCAATATGCATTGAGCAATTTTTGCAAATATTTATCGAGAACTTTTCCTCATACACTTGTAGAAATGTGCACTGCGAAATGATCATACGTCATTGTCGCAATGATCATAAATGATAATGATGCATTGCGACGTTCATTTTTGAGTGTTCATTTTAATTGAATAATAAAAAAATTTTGTTTTGTATAGCTTTTAATGGTTGAAAATTTTTTAATGTATAAAATACTGTTCGAAAATTGTGCATTAAATGAATTTTAGCAGCAAAGAAATTATATATTTCAGTACGAGATACTATGTCTGAATCTGAATCTGATGTGGATGATGATAATTTGGTAGAAGAAGATGACGATGCTGATGATGATATTGTGTCGGAAGAAAGAATTGATCAGGTTTAATTTACATTTTCTTTTTATTTGTTTCAATAGTAACTTAGTAAAGAAATCACTTTTTCTAGCAGAAAGAGGTAAAAAATGAAGTGGAATGATTAGCATTATTATGAAATCAATTAGCTGCTTGATGTTCCGTTTTGATTTTAATCGAGATAAGTGAGCATGAGGAGTCATTTAAAAGTAGATTCATTTTTGTCGAAATCTTTTTTTGTCATTAAGAATGATTGAATTTTATGGAAATAATTTTATCACAAGTAATTTATATATAACACCAGATACACAGAAATTAATTGGAATAGCACATTATAAATTAATTAAATGCGACTAATTTCAGGGAAGGTGATAGTTATAATATCGTTTTGAAATTTTTAGGATAAGCCTACATTATCCAGTGGTTCATCAAAACGTGATGATGGTGAGTCATGCAGTTTAACCGTACGTGGTGATGAGAAGAAATATGAAGGATATCAGAAATGAGAGAGTATCCATCCTTTCATGAAGTGTCCTGATCTGATTGTCCAAGATGTCTTCTAACGATTTCATCGAAACAATTATATTAATCTTTGTTTAATTGCTTAGTATGCTCAAAACTGATTTTTTGCATGCACCATATGCAATTTTCTTAATTATTCATTAAATGCTATTGATAAACGATAAAATGTGGAAGTGAAGAAGTAAACAAAAATAAATTTATGATGTTATTATAATAAAAGAGATAATATAATTTCAGATGATAATAGGATGAGGATATTTAGAAAAAAAAAAAGAAAAAGAAAAAGATTAGTAGGCGATACGATGAAGTAGTTATGTTGAAATTTTACAATTCAACTTGAAACAACAACGCAAACATATGTCATTAATGCAATTAGCACTGTGCACTAATTTATAATTAGTTGATCCAATACTTAATTAATTTCTAACTACTATAAAATATCAATGTAAATGGCTTTATATTAGAATTATGCAATTGTAAAATTTGAATTTTTATAGCAAAAAGTTACAAAGTGAAAAAATTTTTAGACAAAAAAATAGTAGTAAGAATGAAAATATTTCATAGTGTTGTTATCATTTGAATACTTTCACATTATAAAAAAAAAAACCAATAAAAAATAAAGTTTGAAAAGAAAATTTTTTTTAAAAAAATTAGCAAATGAAAAATTTTCTCCTCTTAGTTTAGTTTTTAATATATTTCTTTCTTTGAAAAATAAATTCAATGAAAAAAGCGCATTTCTTCATTGATTAATAAAATTTTAACCAATACAAATGAAACTAGTACATGAATTAATTGATATCTGAATTGATAGATGTGGTTTTTCTTTTCTTCCATTAATTTTTTATTTCCTTTGTTTTATTGTTTTTTTTAGTATATTTCAATTTTAAATGTAAAATAATAAGCAAATTTTAAGGTAAAAAAATTAGCATTGAAAAATTTTCAATTCTTTTAAATATAAAATTTCATCAAAAATCATTAGTTCTATAAAATTCACATTCTAAAAAACAATTGATTTTTTTTTGTTTCTGTTTAAAATAAATTTATTTATTTACTTTTAATTTGAAATTATTGAAGTGCAATAATAAAAGATAAATATAACTAAAAGTGAAAGATTGAACAGAAAAAAAAAAAAGGCAACTGTTTATTTTTTAATTCAAACAAATACTGCTGTATAAATACCATGTATTATTTCACTTCCCTTTCCAATTTTTTCTTTTTTTCCTTTTTGTTTATGAAATACATTTCCCCATTTTAACTAACTAATTGAAAATGCCTTCATGATTTTTAATTCCTTCATATTAAATTAAAATTTAATTTCCGAATTTTTAAAAAATGATCTTCCTTGGCAATATTTAAAATATGTACTTCATAGCTTTTCTACCGAATGAAATAAATACATTCATCAAATGACGTATACATATAACTATCGTAAAAATTAGAATTTTAAATTTATTAAATTTAACAATTAAGTGTACCCTTCTATCGATGTGATGAATTTTTTTTTTTTTGAGTAAATTCCAGTAAATTAATAAATGAATTTTTTGAGTACAACAAATATTTCCATTCCTTTTTCACTTAAATATTTAATAAATAGACTTTTATTAATTTTTTTTATTCTTTCTACAGGAGGAAACTGTATTGCTTCATTGATTGAAATAGTAAATGGAAAAGAAACTTTACAAATATATTAATTAATTGGTAATTCATTCATTATCTTCAATGCTATTTATTCATTTTCACATTTTGTTATTTATTTTCAAAAAAAAGAAAAAAAAAAAGGAAAAACCGAATGGAAAAAAAAGAAATTAAATAATTAAGAGGGAATAATTCAATCAGAAATATATTTCAACAGATATCATAAACTATTTAGGGGACGAAAAAAAAAAAGAAAAACATTTCATTTTTAATTTTAATTTAATTTTAGATTTACATTGGAAAAATCATTTTTATTTCTTCGCTTTCTTTTCCTTCAATTATTCATTTTTCATTTAAATTTTAAATTACCTTTTCCTTCCATAATTTCTTATTGATTCTTTAATGAAACATCCCAAATGTAAAAGTATAATTTATTTCCTTTTTTTTTTTTTTTTTATCTCTTCATACCAATTTAAATTTTCATTTGCATTTTCACTTTTTGTTATGCCTTTTATATCATCAAATCTATTAAAATCCCAAAATTATTCCAATCACTCTTTTTTTTTTCTTCCATTATTTATTACATTTTACTTGATTACTTTTAGGAAATTTTAAAGTGAATTGAATTTTTGAAAAACTCATTTTTTTAGGTTATGATTAAATTTTATGCTTAAATAAATAAAAAAGATAAATAAAAAAATAACAAAAAATGAAAACAAAAGAAAAATGAAAATTCGAATAAAAAAAATAAAAATAAAAAATACAAAAATTAAAAAAAATAAAAAATCCAATTTTTTAAATTTTTGAAATTTCATTAGTTATAATGAGACTGAAACTTATATCTAACAACATATTAAAATATGCAAATTTTAAGTGAACCAAACAAAATTTATGCTTTTATTTGCATAATTTGTCATAATTTGTTTTATTTGTCCACATATTTCTATGCCTATACTTTGTGTTCGTATAAATCCCTGTATAGATGAGTGTGTGTGTGTATGTGTAAATGTGTGTATGTGTATGTGTATGCATGTGTGTATGTGTCTTTGGGTGTGTGTATGTGTGTATATGTGTGCATGTGCATGTGTATGCATGTATGCGTGTGTGTGTATATGTGTGTTATATGTGTGTGCGCATGTGTGTGGGTGTGTGTGTGTGTGTGTATGTGTGTGTGTGTGTGTGTGTGTGTGTGTCTTTTATGCACGTGCAATATGTATTTATGTATCTGAATTATCAATTTCTGAAAATGTTTTTGTTTATTATCGTTCAAATTATAAATTTTTACAAAAAAAAAAAAGAGAAATATTCTGAAAATTTTGAAAATAAAATTATTTCATGCAAAAATTATATATTAAATTAAATAAAATAATATTTTAAATTATTTCATCAAATTTTAATTGTCTTTATATAAAAAATTTAATTCCATTTATAAATTTTATTCTACGATCAAACGATTTTTTTATAAAATTTACAATCAACATTTGATGTATTTTTTGAATTAAAAATTAAAAAATTCATGATATTTTAAAATGTGACATCTTTTAATTTTCATATTGTTTAAAATTCAAAAATTTAATTTCATCTAAAAGAAAAGTTTGCTTCTGTAAAGTTTAGTTTTGTACAGAGAAAAAAAAAGAAATTGAAAGAGGAAAAAAAAAATAACATATAATTATGAAATTTATGAGGAAGGAAAAAAGCATTTTACTTTTTTCTTTTTTTATTTTCCGCTTACTAAGAACTGCGGAAAAAAAAAAGCAATAATCAAATTAGATTTTTGTTCCACTTAATGCTTACTAATAATTAGTTTTGTTATTTTCTCTTTCGTTTTTTTCTTTCCTGCACAATTTAAATGTTTGTCATATATTATTCATACTGGTGACATGTCGTGAATTTCATTTTAGCTTTTATTTAAAAAAAAAAAGAAGTCTTTAATTCATTATTTCCTTTTGATATTATATTCGAATTATTTATTTTTTTCTTGACAATTACATAGTTAAATTGATTGAAATTAATTTTAAACGAAGTTTTCGATTATTTTCTTTACATTTTCTTTTTTTAAAATTATTTAAAAATATAACCTAAAAATATTTTTATATTTTTCAAATTGTCGAAAAAACTATTAGTGCTATTATTTTTTTTTTGTTGACATTTTATTATTAAAAATTAAATTAAGTAAGTAAAAAAAAAAATTTTCTTATAAAATAAACAACATTTATATGATATTAAGAAGAAAAAAAAAAAAAACTTATTCATATTACAATATTACAGGTAAGAAATGTATACTCATAATAAATTATGTCTAATGTTACTAGCAATATCTATTAGTTTGGGAAAATTATTTAATGAAAATCAAAATATTGTTGTTAGAGCAGGATCAACTGCATATCCACATTATCTACGCAAGAATTTACATGGTTAGTTTTTTAAAAAAA